ACTTCAAATTTTTTTGCTTATTGAGGAGCGATGTCAGCTCTGTGGTGTTTTGGTATACTAGCTGCACCTACGTCTGAATCAAAGCTGAAATTTTCTGTTCTCCTGGTTGATGGGCGAAATTCTTCGTTTTTCGTACATTCCACCCACACAAGTGCCAGTAGTGCACATCCTCGTCATGCGTTGATTCATTTGCGCTTTTATTGGTTTTGCTTATCACCTAACCAACCAGTACTGATATCGACACCAGTCGGAGCCGCCTCATCCTTGAAGGTTCAAATCATCGCCAACCGTATCGATAAAATCGTCTCACCTTATCATACAACGCAATCAACATCGTTTTTCAATCGTGTACCATCCCTTTTTTTCAGCGATTTTTCTTAGATAAGTGACAAATCGATTTGCTTCCAGAACCGTTTTTCCATTGCCATGCAGCTGCGTCGCTGACATTATGATGACGAGCTTTCGAACGATCGTCTCTACTAGAATTATTCATTTATTCTTGTTATTATTATTACTACACTATACCTGTCTGGCACAGCTCGTCCGAGGTCGACCGCCGTCTTTTCGAGACGAAGACTATCCGGCGTCGATTCTGCTTACCGAAGGGCAGCCACTGATTTTGAACTGTCGAGCTGATCGCTCGGAGCAAGTTCAATGGCTGAAAAACGGGTTTCCGACTGCAGTACGCTCCACCATACTGCAGATTGGTCCCACATCTCGGAATGACTCCGGTGTGTACAGATGTGTGGCGATGAATTCCGTTGCGTCTGCTCTTTCGCCGCCGGTCAAGGTCACTGTGCAATGTGAGTTCAAATTTTTGTAGTTATTTCGATTTTACATTTTGCTGAATAATCTGTTAATTTTGAATATTCCTTTACTCTGGGTTTTGTTTTTTGCCGGTCTTTTTTGTATTGTTTGTTCATAGATCTTTCACGCTTATCTTCGAAAGTTAAGCTGAAGACCAAAGGTGGACTCTTCTCGGACTCGAAGGATTTCCAATCTGGAGGGGAAAAAATTACAAGGCCACAGTAATTCCTTTTATTGAAGATCAAACGAACTTTAGAAAGCAAAAGTCCAAAAGTCAAGGTCCGTTTTTGGAAGTCTTGTGAAAATATTCTCGAAATTCTGAGATTTAACAGTCGAACATTAATGCTTTATGATACTTGAAAACATTTCAATGTCTCTGAAGATTCATTGACGCTAGCTGTATTGGAAGCTTCTGTCTTGTTCTTTGTGCTGAAGTGGCGAAAAGCTCATAAGCAGGCCGTAAGTGCTTGTTTTGACGGCGAAGAGCGCAATTCAAATGGGACCCCCTAAGTGCTGTTGGGTTTCCTATTTGTATTAGCCATAATCTCGGAGTCGTCGGCTGTAGTAAAGACTATGGAAGCTCAATGAGTTTTTCAATAGTATAATATCAAATATCAAACAAGTGTCTCCATAATTCTTTTAGATCTCGATGGCTTCGAAGAGGTCGACCCGTCCGAGCAGGTGCTTTATGCTGCAGAAGGAGGACATTTCGTCATCAAGAGGCCTGCGCTAATTGCTAACAGTGATCCGTTACCAAACACCGAATACTCGTGGTACAATGGCGAGACTCAGGTTAGGCTCAGTCGATTTGGATTTCAGTTCCTTTCACTCTCAATTGAGGCAGTTTTCACATCCTGTTGACGCCCTCGGTATCTTAATCGCTGGCCTTTTTTGCAGCCGATGTATTTGGGCTAATGTCGCCTGACGGCGGCCGATGGTTTGCGCTGATGGGCTGCCTCATTGACCCCACTCATATTGACTGAATTGTTTAGCTCGCTGGGCGCGCGTGATCGGCTACAAAAAGTGGAGATTTTATCGGGTACGATAGGGAAATCTAGATGAGCACCCCATCTGGTTGTAGCTGACTTAATAGATCTGTTGCAAAGAAGATGTCATGGGGAAAAGTGAAATAGACTAAACATAAGAACAAAATCAAAAGTTCAACCAGAAGTTCATAAACTATCGGCAGACAGGAGCAACGGTCAGCGTGCCTCGTGCTTCTCAATTTTTTTATCTTTTGTTGTTTTTTGGTGTTCTCTTCTTGGAGTTAGTTTTCCCACTTGCTTTATTGAGTGATGAGACAATCTTACATGCGCAAGCTAACTGGAAAAGGGCAAAAAGTGCGTAGGAGTAGGGGACAATTTACTTTTGAGAAAATTCAGTTGCTGTGATTTTCATAGTTTCCATCATGACCAGTTTGTTTAGCGCGGTCTCCCTGCTTTCGAGTTTTCTCGATTTTTGTCCTCTAAATCCGCTGCAGACAGGGACCACAGCTGAAACAAAGGGAAAGTGTTTTTTCAACAGTGTCTTTCTGTAACAAGCACATCTGACGATGAGTTCCCCCTACAATTCCATTCCTTCCTTTTGCATTTTTGGACAATCTCAATGCATTTGCTCTCAGTTTTCATTCCCAATAGGGGTATTATGAAATGGATTTTCTCTTAGAATTTATGGTTGTGGATGAGCACACAAAATCATGTTCTAGTTTAGTTTTGGTTTTGTCCATGCCTACTTCGCGGACGTTTTTGTCTGGTATGAGGTAATCTAATCGATACCTTTACTGCCTTTTCGTGCAAGATGACCTTGAAGGCACCATGGTTTTTTCTTCCAGATAAGTTAAGGCGCTCTCTTTGATGCTAATTGATGGGAATTGGACGGTCATTCTGAAAGAACTAAAAATTTTACTGACATATTCCCAGCGTTTTCAAATGGGTCGCAGCTAGCATCAGCCGCGAACCACCTGTCATTAACGTTTAAACTCTGCACGAAACGAGTTCGTCGCTAGAATTAGCGCGTTTTTCAGCCGTAAGGAATAGCGCAGTGAGCTATCAGCGTTTCTTGCTTTGCCTTGACATGAAATTGTTCGTCATTGACGACCTACGTCGGGACAGCTATGCATTGTGTTGATGATAGCCGTCCACTCTTGTGCAAATAACAGAGGCCTGAAAAGGCGATTCAAGACGTCTCAGCTAACATTGGCGAGTACAGTGATTCCCAGAAGCAACCTTTTACATGGTGAAAATCCGCCATTGGGTCGGTTGCGAAGGTTGGTAACGGCGTCAAGTGGGATGTGAATTCACGTTCTGATTTGATGGTATTAATTCTTAAAGTAGAATTATCGATGAAATAAATAGCTCTTCTTTTCAAGGTCTACTCGAACAGGTCGCACTACATAACTTCTCGAGGAGATTTGGTTGTCGTAGACGCGACTCGGTCGTCATTTGGAGATTACAAGGTTTGAAAACCATCAGCGAATTTTTAAGGTTTCGTCTGAGGAGCTCTTTTATAAGAAGATGAGCGGATTTTAGTGTGTAGTATAGCTTTCAGTACTCGAGCGTGCCCATAACTCCGGTAATGTACACCTGTCATAGTTTTAAGTATCTAGATAGGAAATTTTGGTAAACATTTGTGTTGTGGTGTAGTGAAGGTAGTTTTCTCTAATATCTTCACTTTTGCCAACCACTTCAATTTTGAATACAGCCATTTAATGAACTGTACGCTGGCAGTCCATGAGAGTCTTCATTTGAACCAAGAGCGTCGGGTGCAGACCATAGTACACAACTACGACGGCCTCCAAATAAATCTGGTTAGTAGTGGTTCATAGTGATAGCTGATTTTTGGTAAATGATAGTTGTAATTAGTGACAACTGATAGAATACAACTGCAACAGGCTAATCATTTCATTGGCAGAAAACATTTACATTTTGTGGAAGGCCGTCGTCACTTGTGGTGTATGGTCTGCACCCGACTCTTCTCGTTTTTTGAAAGGGAGGTTAGTTTCGTCGCACACGATGGATGCGACAGGGAGGGAAGTGGGATGTCAGTTTTTAAATAACAGAAAAAAATACCGAAAAGTAATCTCCAAATGCAAAAAAAAACGAACAGGAAGGAAAAGTGGTGTTTTTTAAGCGTTCAGTCGGGCTAGTAAGTTTATCAACTTAAGAGGGCATTTAGGTTGTGGCCTCCGTCGATGGACTCGGCGAAGCGGTTTCGAGCATAATAACGGTGTATCAGCAGACTAATGCAGGGTGAGGTCGTTTTTTAAGTAGTTCATGCTTGTATAGATACCATCAGCGGTAATGATTATTTACATGTCTAATTCGCTTAATTTCAGGGAACCTTCGGGAGGGTTGTCTATCATTTATTATTCTGAGGACAGAACAATCTACTCCGCTGGTTCTTCACAAAAGCGATCGGAGTCGTTCGACTGTGTGTCGTCCTTGAAGTGAGTCGCTTACTGCTTAAGTAGCCGTTTTCTTTTCTTCTTACTGTTTTCAAGAACTGTTAGTGAAAACAAGGAAAATCAGCATACCACAATTGCTATTTGGCCGTCATTTGCTCTCAACCACTCCGTCAAGAGCACTTTCGTCTTGAAGTTTTGGAAGAGTTTTATGGGAAAATAACATATTCTTTTATACTTATTTTGTATTATTTTGTGGTAAACACCC